CACAAGGCATGTGCACCGTTTCTTCAAAGGTCAGTTTTTTTCACAACCTACCTCTTGCAACATTTTTCTTCCTCCCCAGCTCCCACTCCCCCAAGTCTACAGCCCCCAAAGTGATCGTGATGCGATCTGAACTGCCTGTCAATTCACACCGTCCATGTTTACTGCTCTTAAGGGTAGGCAAGGGACAGAGGCAAGCAGAGAACTAAAAAACACCATCATCAGCATAACGTGACACTATTCCTTGTGACGGTCGGATGAAATCTGGGACACAGTTGCATTCATCGTTCAGTGAGCTCTCCCACACAGTTAAACCCACCGACAGCAATGAATGTTGATTGTGACCTTTGCTGTGGTTTGCAAGCTACAAGTATTTTGTGTTTCTGGAGAATGGACGATGCGTTCCTCATGAGCCCCACCCCTTCTAAGACCATGTCTGTACAAAGATTTCTGCATGTGTTCTTTTCTTCTTTTCTGTGACAAAGCCTAGCCACAGGGTACAGTCAACGGTCGATGGTTTTTTTTCTTTCAATTTAGCTCAAACTCACCGACAGCGTTGAATGTTCACTGGGGCAAGCAGAGACCTGATGGTGACTGGGGATGACAGTCTGCTTGGCGGGAGCATATCTTCTCTGTGAGGGAAAAGCTTCTTTCTTCTTCTTTCACCAAACCTCCCTTTCTTAGTAACACTGACAAGGTCATGACTGTAACAAACCTGAATTATACCATCTTTTCCAGTTAGGCTAATCAGATGACTAATACTATCCAAGTCAAACTTCCAGTTAATATAAACTGACAATAAATAGTGATAAATTATAAGAAGGTTCGGTTAATCACAATGCTGCCATCTTTCACATCTTTTTGGAGCTTTTTTCCCTTTTTTACATCCACTACCTCTAGAAAGGTATAAAAGAAGACTTTAAAATATATGCTGAACTTCTTTAAGCAAGAATAATTTTTCACTAAACCCATTTATTTGGATTTCTTAGTAGAAGAACATTTTCCATCAAGCCTGGAGAGCTGCATTTACCAATGACTTCCATGCCACATGGTCATTATTACACCAAAGAACTCGTCAGTGTGTAAGAAAACATTTCCTTGGTAAATAACAGTTAGAAAAGGGAAGTCATCTTGAAACTCCTGACTCATAGTGGGTTTTAGTAAACGTATCACCTGGGTGGAGGCTGCAGCCAATTGGCATATATTTTACTCAAAGCACAGTGGCGTGGTGTCTAGAGAGGCCCCAGCATGCCTGAATAGCTTCATGCAAGCTGCAGGATGAGGAAGACACCGGGTATGAAACTGCCGACTCACCCTGATCGATAGCGGCTGCCATTTCGCTATGATGTGGCGCTGTGGCCAAAGACTGGGGTGTTTTTTCTTACCTCCTCTTCTTACACTAAAAACAGTAAAGAAACTATCCACCATTTTGCATCAATGGCTTTATTACACAGTGCTGAATCAACTTGAGAGAGAGAGAGAAAAAAGCAAAACAAAAAACAAGTTTGCAGGGTTTGTGAAAAGCACAGAAATCAAATGCCACGGAGCTGCTGGAGCAATTAGATACGATGTGACGGCAACTGTGGCAGTGAGTCAAGATGTGGTCGGATGATAAAAACGTTGTTGGGACGCTTTTCCAGGGCAGGATAAGGAGTGACTAAGCTGATGTGGCGGATATCTCATCGCATGCCACATACTCCTTTTACACAGAAAACAGAGAGTTAAAAATAGCAAGATGGCTCTGTCTTTACTGTTAGGCAGGAAAACAATGAGCAGTATTCATTTGTGAAGAATTTTAGATCGCATGTGTTAATTTGGCATTCTGAAGCTTTTAGGTCCCGAGCAATAATAATAATGATAATAATAATAATAGTAATAATAAAACTAATTTGTTAGCTGATGACAGCCAATCTTGGACCAAAAAGCACAGTCCTTGCTGCGAGGGACACGTTAACTTGGTCTCTTTTCACTCTCCACAACAGTGATTTGAGTGACAGCGCTGGAATTGACAGAAGTGGATGAGAAGGAATGTAGCTTTATAAGGTCTTCTCTGGCCGCAGGATGAAGATGACAGTAGGAAGAAAGATCTGGGACATGCAACTATAGAGAGAGAAGGGCCCTGAGCTGACAATGTGGCCCTAATCTGAATGACAAGGTCTGCACATCAGCCCTCAAACCAGCATGGGTTGGGGGGGGTTGTGCTGGAGCATTATGAGAAAGCTAAGTGGGGAGAGGAATAAGAAGAGACAGAAAAGGGAGGAGGGAGAGGGCTGGCATGGGTGTCCTTCCTTCAAACATGCTGGCCTTAATGGCACAGACAGCTCTGACATTTAACCACTGAAACATTTTTAGATAAGTGGATGCGGTGGAGGCAGATTTGAGACTTGTGAAAATTTCAGGAGGTTTTTTTTTCTCTTTTTAGGTTAACTATAAGCTATAAAGAGCTTTTGAAAAGGGGCCGCGCAAACGTTAAGAATAACGAGAGGAAATTAAAGGGGAAAATAATATTTGTGCACAAGCTGGAGAAGTGACTCAAGGGGTTCTCTAGTTAATGACTAATGCTGACGTTCTCTTGAGCAACGGCGCATCCCACAGTTGGTTCGGTGACGCTATTTGGTGGTCCAGAGTAAGAGACCACAGTATGAATGTGATACAGGATGCCGCAGATTACCACCACATATGTTGAACAGACTTAAAACAAAGTACTGTTACAAAACTGCTTTAAAGGAGTGCCAGCAATACAGAAACTTGTAGAACAAGTTGGTGTAATGGATACTGTCAGTGTTTCACAGTTAGTACTGTGAAAACAGAAAAAAAAACCCACATACCTGTAATTCCAGAAAGGCATCTGCAAGAGGTGATTAAATTACTCGAAAAACAACAAAAGAACTGACTGCACCCAATAGCACAGTATCGAGTTTTGTAATGTCTGTCTATACAGTTTCATCAGATGGTGTTAAAGATAAGTGTTGGGCTGAAATGTCACCAACCATAAGGTTTAGGATTCGTTTTCTCTACGTAAGATTTGTACCCTTCTCGTTCGATCTTTGTCTCACTAGTGTAGAAGGTTACTACTGATGCCTATTTTGGCAGAGGAACACACAGATTTTTTTCTTGGTGAGATGTGAAACTAAGAAAACCAAGAAAAAACATTTCAATTCAGATTGTGTGGTTCTTATCGGTTGTGAGTTAACAAAAGGAATATATTTTAGATTATCCACTTTTGTTCAGTACACTACTAACACAAAAATATTCATGGTAACATTTCTAAAGGCCTTAATGGGTGAAATTACGTGTGCCAGAATTCTGGAGCTCACACACATGCAGTAAATGATTAAAATATCATAAGAAAAAAAATGGATTCAGGTTTAGGGTTAAATAGCTTGAAGAAACTGGATATGCATAAAAACAAAATTGGAAACCCCAGTTAATGCCCGTCTCTCTCCTTCACTTCCATGTCTCCCTCTCTCTCTCTCGGGAGGGGGAGGAAATTCCTGGCGAGGGTGCTGCGAGTTGTTGCTCTCTGCCTGCAGGTACAGACCGGCCTCCTCTGTCTGCCTGTCTGCAGATATCATACCGCGACGTGATCTGTTTAGCTGCCTGACTTAATGCTCACCTGCTCACGCGCCTCCGGCTCTGTGTGATTGAGTGTGTGTGTGTGTGTTGACTTCCGCTGTCCCCTCACAGCTGGAATGGCATCTCCCTCTTTATCTGCCACCCTGCGATTACAGACGTGTGCACACGCAGAATGATAGATGGATTTTTACTACACTGATGAGATATTTGTGTCCACTAACCAGGCATGCAGCTGACGCCTTCCCCTAACATGTGTTTCAGCTCCACTGATGAAAAAACAGATAAGAGACTCTTTACCAGCTCGTACCACAGCATCAGCATTATTATGTTTAAGCTCTACTTTAAGCTCCAACTTTAAATACTAAATAAATCTATTGAGTCTATTGAGGCTAATTGCTGGTTAATTAAGCATCTTTTTAGTGTTTTTGCCCCCAACCTTTCTAAGCAGTCTCACCCTGTGATTATTATTATAAGATGGGTTTTTTCCCCATGTTTTGACTGCTGCAACACAGCAATTTCCCAATTTTTGGGACAAACTAAATATTTAAGGCCTGAGAATCAGCAATGCAAAAGAAAGCGAGACACAAATACTCATAAAACAAAGGACTGACGAGCTAGAATGGAAAGAATTAGGTTGCTTAAATCCAAAAAGCAAGTAAGGATAGATGATGTAACACAGGACATTATCAAAAGCAGCGTTACCTTACCTTTTAAATCCAGTCTCAATACATTCTAGCTTATATAGCACAGTTTTACATTATAAATAAGAAAAGCATCAAATTCAATTATTAAAGCTGCTTAAACTTGATGAATTTTCTTAGTGGGATTTTGATTTGTTGTGTGTTTTGCAGTGTTGTGTGTTTGTGTTTTGCAGTGTTTTATTTATATAACAGTTTTTTGGGGGTTTGTTTGTTATGTCCTCTTGAGGTTGTCACAGCACTGACAGATACAAGCTGACTTGTACAACCCCGTTCACAAAACACACACAGACACACTTGAGTAGGGGTCTGAGTCCAGCTGGAGGTGGTCTCCTGCCAAACCTGCAGGCAGCCTGACTGTTTTCATATTCATCACACAAACAGTGATTAGAACTGACAGGACACACACACACACACACAGCTGTGTGAAAAAAAATCAATATTTTAACTGCAACCTGTTATCCTAAAAAATTTACAAAGAGAAACTATTTTGTTGCCACTGCTGCATTATTCTGTCTTTGACTTCTTTTACTGTTATTTTATATTTACTGTCACAACAGCTATCTGTGCTATCTAGTTAAAAAAGAAAAAAGCAACAAAGAAAAGAGAAATAGAGGAGGATGCTAAAAAAGAGATGGATGTAGACTGGCTGCAGTAAGTAATGTCATGAGAGGCGACGTGGACGGGGGACGGGCGGCGCGCGGGGGGGGGAGGGGGGGGCGCTTGAAGAAGTGGAGATAGATAGCTAGTAGGCAGGGAGAGAGACAGAGAGACAGAGAGAGAGAGAAAGAGTGCACCTCTTCACCCTCTCTCGCTACTCCCCATCACACACAAAGCCCAGAGAGACTCCATGGGGCGCCAAATAATAACCTTCTTTGTCATTATCATCGCCCAGCCAAACAGCTCTCAATCCTCCTCCACCTCCTTCCGTCTTGAACACAATCATTGGCCTATCGTTTACAGTGTGCCGCTAAATGGGAACATCAATAGACACGTCCATTAGCAGTGCGAGTCCTTTCCACTCTGATTCTGAAGTGCTTTAATAGCTGGCACACACACACACTCTCACGCTTCACCTCAGCCGACTGTTAACCAAGCTAACCCCGGTGCAGGCGAAGCCGAACTGATGGGGTGTATCATTAGAGCTGGTTAGGAACACGGTCGGTGCGAGGGCGGTGCTTTCAGTTAACCTGAAGCTACAAACCGCGAGCACAATGCCACAACTGATTCAAGGAGCACTGCACTTTGCATAATCCAATGATTTTCTGCTGAATACAAGTTCAAGCCTCTGTAGCTGACACTACTTGGTCTTATCTGGCAAATCACAGTTATTTGCAAGCTGGCAGCAGATCGTGTGTAACTCTATGTCCAACACTGTTCTTGGTTACTTCTATTAACCTCGCAAATTGAATTCAACACACAAATCCTGTTACATTTGCGTGTGTTTGTAGTATAAATACACACACACACATACCTCAGTGTGACATTCTGAAGACATACTGAACAGAACATCAAACCAAATGAATTAATCTTTATATGCTAATGAGCTGTGTGCGTGCAAGCTCATAAAATGCACAAACACGCCGTTTCCCTGACGGTATCAGAACAGGACAGACTATCACCCTAGCCGTAGACTAATCAATACAACAGGGTCAATCTTATTTAGCGCCACATTCGTGCCTCGTTAATCTCACGCTGAACTTTAGTCACCCTTATTGCTGATGCAAATTGCAACTTAACGTTCGGTTTGACACTTAACCGAACATCAAACTAAGCCGAACACGTCCGAAACTGTAGCAGAACGAAGGGGGAAAAAACAGAAAAGGGCAAATACAGAGTTAGAGGGAGGGAACACTTTCCCACAATCCTCCTCCACACACTGTAATTTCAGCATGCCTGGGTTTTTGGTAGGGTGTGCAAAGCAGGATGCTGGGAACCCTGGGAGGGACACAGGGTGGGTTAGGGGGCTTGTGGGATATGTGGTGCAGCTGTTAAATTTGACTTGTGTGGATGGGTTTTGACTGATGAAAATAGAAATTGAAAAACGAAGCAGGCATAAGCACACGTGCACACGTGGACAAATCGCAAATGATATGAGATATGACATGAGCAAAGACTTGGAAAATTAGAAATAAAAAAAGTGAGAATTTAAATTTGACATTTAAGCTTTTTTGTTTTGTTTTTTTACATCTCGCATTAAATCAAACCAAAAAACAGCTTTTAACAGTGCTGGTACTGGAAACTACAAAGCTCTTTAAATGACTGAATTTTGTAGCTTTCTCGAATATAACTTGTCAATGTTTCTCTCCTTGGAGAAGAAAACTAGAAAACATTGTTTTCTTCCTGAAGGAGGCCATAATGATCCTCCTTCAGTGTTCAGATTTTTAGCGTAACTGGCATGCATGTGTGTGTGTGTGTGTGTTTGTGTGTGTGTGTGTGTGTGTGTGTGGTAGGGTGGTGGTAGACCGCAGACAGCCTCTAGGTGCCATTATGTGTGTGTCTCTGTGCTTGCGTGCCTCCTTCAAGTCTGGACCTGGACAGAAAACAAACAGAGAAGAAAGCATAGGATAAATTCAGGTGTTGTTTGGTAAAGCTTGTCATTAAAATGTCACACACACACACTCGCAGGAGTTCACACACACACACACACACACACACACACACACACACACACGGATGTGTGTGTGTGTGGAATGAATCACAAAGAAACAGATGCACGCACATTCAAAAAGGAAGACACTCACGTACACACACACTCTTGCAATCGACACAGTGTTTCGGGGTTTTATTTCCCGCATTATTATCCACTGCGGCGCTTTCACACTGACTAGTTTATATATGCCTCCATTTCCAAAAATATTTTTGTGGTGGTGAAATATGTCGTAAATGATTCAACATCGCAGACAGATGTGTCAACACTATTAGGTGTAATACGTCAGCACGTCACGTAACCCCGTCTAAAAAATAAAAAAAGAACCAACACAATTTGTTATGTACAAAAAAAAAAGAGCCCACTCATGAGCCGATTCATATAAACACTCTGGGTGGTCTTAAGGAACAATGACACAGAGCCAGCATGTGTGTACATTAATACATGATTCATCTTGAAGAAAGAAAATAAATGAGTTGAAAGTAAGTGTTTAAAAAGAAAGAAAGAAAGAAGAAAGAAAGAAAGAAAGAGAGTACGTTGTTGCCTGAAGTACAAGAATCCTGATATCACGGATATGAGGAACGAGCCTTTTTGAAGTCACTTTGGAGTCTGTCAAAGAAAAAAAAAAGAAACCTGCTTGTGATCATGTGCCGGGGTAGCCCCTACATGTGTTTTACTAAAGATGATATATCAGTGATTATGTGATGCCCACAACATGAAAGAATTTCAGCATTATGACGGCAGGGAATGTAACGCCTTATAAATCTTGGTGTCTGACATTTCTACACACCAGGGCTGAGAGGGATGTGCACGGAGGCAGAATGAATTATCAAAAAGAATTTTTGAGTAGAAAATCTTAGGTTGACCAGATGGAAAGGTGGGGGGAAAAAAAGGACTTTGACTCTGTAAAATTCAGCCAAACCTATAAATATTTTAATATTTTTATATTAAGCTTAATATGTTTTTATACTTTTTTTTCCTTTTTTCTTCTTCTGGTTTGCTCGCTTTAAACAATATCAGGGAATTTTGAATAAAAATAAATAAATTAAAAATGTGTTTTGTTGTGTCAACATTGTTTCAAGTGTACAGTGTGTGTGTGTGTGTAGTTAGATGTTGGTCCTGATAATTCAACTCCAGTCCTACATTTTACAGAACTTACTTTCTGTACTTTTGGCAAATCAAAAAGCCGAATTAACGAGAAGAAGTCATCCAAAGAATATGAAACTATGACTATGCTAATAATGGCATATGTGGGCACTGGGTAATATCATCTGACAATACCAAGAAATTAAACATAGTTACCATAAATTACATTATTTGTAGTTTTTCAAAATTGCATCTACTCAGTTTCTTCATTAGTGAGTCATGTTTTGTGTTTTTCAGTTTTTTTCCTCCCTCTCTGCATCCCCTGATGTTTTCTTTGATTCAAGTGCCATTTGGACTCCCATTGAGACAAATAATGAGTCACTCTGTGTATTCTCAAAGCTGCCTGTTCATTTGTGGTCAAAAAACACATCAAAGTTCCCATGGAAGACATATTCATAAATGCCTTTTTTAAGCTACTTTAGCTGTATTAATGACTTCTTTAAGCTGCCTGCTGTTCATAGATTTAACCAGTCCCTCAGAGTCCTTTTTAGCTTTATATTCTTTGGTTCAAGAACCGTTTAGTTCCTGGCAAGAAAGTTCATGTGGTCGTGGTTAGATCTAGCAAGTACAAGAGCTGAGGTCTAAATATATCTCTGTGTCTAAATATTCAGTGTTTAAGCATTTACTATATATATGTCAACCAGTTCCACTTTTTGTTTATGTAAACATGGCAAGTGGAGTTTTGGTTCTTGAATCTGATCCAGGATCAGGGTTGTATAAATTTGCGAGCAGAATTTAAGGTCAATTTCAAATGTGGCATTTTACTGTATGCAGTATCTGCTTTTCCTTTCATATTACATACATAAGTCACAGGTTTTATTAAAAGCAGTCTAGACACAGCTCTAATTAAAACTATGGTTTACAAAAAATCACAATGCAGCTTTAATAAATGGACCTGAAGATTCTTTATAATTACATGTACAATCTAAACTACACACACACACACACACACACACACACACACACACACACACACACACACACACACA